CTAACACATACTGTCTGAGCACCAAAAATGTGCCAAAACACTGGATCCCATAGTCCAATGGGATTAATTGGCATCTCTGCTTATTGATAACATTCATGACCCTAGTAGTACAGGGATTACAAAAAATAGGGATTCATTAACTTCAGGTCATAGACCACAACTGGCCTGCTGCCAATTCTTGTAAATAATGTTTTGGTGAAACACTAACATGCTCAATTCATTTACGTATTGTCTGTGGCTGTTTTAGGACTCTAAGAGCAGAAGTGAGGAGTTACAACAGAGACTATTACATTATTTATTATCTGGCCCTATACAGAAGTTTGCTGACTCCAACTATTAGAAGATACCAATATGCCATCTAACTCTCAAATATTTTATATATTATCTTAGTTGTAATAATGCATGATAAACATGCAATTTTATGCTAAATCTTGGAAAATCACCATTTAGTATAATATGTGCAGTATTCTATCCCTTGCATATTTCCATAACCAATCATACCAGAAAACAACATTAACACAATTCAACTAACAAACTATGTTTCCCACAAGTCATGGAATCTTAGGGATCTTTAATCCCAGCTCCTCACAAGATCAATAGTTTTAGACTGATCTTCACTATTTTTAAAATTAACCCTAATCTGAGTATGGTGGCACACCTACAATCTAGCTACTTGAGAGGCTAAGTCAGGAGGATGGAGGTTCAAGGACAGCCTGGGCAAAAGTAAATGAGACCCTATCTCAAAACAAGTTGGGCATAGTGGTATATGCCTGTGGACCCAACTACTCTGGAGGAGGAGATAGGAGGATCCAGTCCTCAGGCCTGCCCAGGCAAAAGCACAAGACCCTAGCTCAAAAACAAACTAAAAAAAAAAGGTCTGAGGTCAAGGCCTAAGTGGTAGAGCACTGGCCTGGCAAGTGCAAGGCCAAGTTTGATCCCCAGTATTGCCTAAATAAATCAATAAATAAAGTAATATTAACCCTCCCCCATAGAAAACCATGCACTCTCTTAAGAGTTACAAGTTACTTCTGAGCGATTTCTCTAGTTTCACTGTGTATATCCTGAGGTTTCCTACTTGCATAACTCAAGCGTAACAAAGGCTAGTTTTATTCCTGAGGTTTGTTTTTGTTTTTTAAACTGTTTCAAATATACTTCATGAAGATCTCAACATTTTGTAGAACTTAATTGGCTGCACACTACCCTGGACTGGTGGCTTCAGGGCACAAAGAAAGAAGAGATTACAGATTTCTTCCTTGGGTGAAATTAAATAGCCTAATCTAAAGGAAATACTTTATTAATATAAACTTAGTTGTCATATACCTCATAATACTTTTAAACATATTTAAACACAGATTTAGAATTTAAAAATACAGAATGTCATATCAGACTAAGATTTTGGAGCTCACTAAATCCTAAATAGTTCAATTTACAGATGAAACTTAAATGGCTTGACAAAGGGCTTTCAGTGATTGACACTGCCTGCAATCAGAAAGTTACTGTATTGTCCTGTCTAATGCTAGACACTATGTTGTGGGCCAGGATTACATAAGTATCTTAGTTGACAACTCAATTAACTTAAATCAATGAAATAGATACACGCAGGAATAAAAGATACAATTCCTTAATAACTGCTAAACTCCTCTAAGTCTTCCTATATAGAAAGTTCTTTCCCTCTGGGATCCAGGATAGAGATTAAGGTTGTTACTGTGGATCCAGGCTTCACAATTTTGAATTCTGATTTTGCCTCTTTCTGTCTGTGTAATCCTACAGCAATTTACTTAACAGCTTTGTGTCTGCTTCCTGATCTTTCTGGTGATAGAGTATGTAAACAATCCCTACATGACTAGTACATGTAAATGCTCTATGTTAGGCAGCACTATAATTTTCCTCAGGGAGTTTTCTTACCAAAACATGGGAAAGTAATCAAGATATGGAGAGACTGCACTTAAAGGTAGGTTTATATAATTACAATCAATTGCAGCAAAAACTTATTAAATAGAAAGAGTAAGGAGAAAAAAAGTTCTTAATAGAATAGTTTATGAAAACACACTACTGAAAACATATACATAAGAAATCTTACCTTTAATATTAAAAACAAACTTTACTGAAACCTACACACAAAGTCTTTCAAGAAAAATTGATTTCCTAGCATTCACAAGGTCCTGGGTTCAACCCCTAGAGCACCATCAAAAAAGTAAAAAAAAAAAAAAAAAAGAACAAGAAAAAAGGAAGAAAGAAAGCAAATGGGGGGGGGGGGAAGAAAGATGGTTAAGCACTAAAAGTCTTTCTGGATTTCACTAAAAGTCAAGCCTAAATAGACTAAATGACTGCTTAAACACAAGCATCGGGGCCACAACTATGTCCCTCAATAAGCTACATCCCAGACTCCAATAAATATTTGTTTTTTCTTTTGTTTTGTTTTTTGAGACAGGGTCTCACTATAGCTACATAGTCCAGGTTGCCCTGGAACTCATGACCATCCAGCCTCAGCCTTCCAAATGCTGGGATTTCAGTGGATTACCCAGTAAAGTAATTACTGGTACTTTGGTCAAAGATAGTCAGTGGGTAGGAAAAGTTTGACACCTTGCACTCACTCCTTTGCAGAGATTTCTATCATGTTTTATGACATGCCATAGTAACAGAACACAGGGCTCTTAAAGCAGTATGACCTTGAAGAACCCACTTAAAAGGTCTCTAAAATTCATTACCTCCTCTATAAATTGTGCTACCATCTACCTACCAGATCAGTGAGGGAAGAGAAAGTAAATAATGGCTCATGCACATACATATATTCCTAGGGTAAATCTGTGTGTGTGTGTGTGTGTGTGTGTAAATCTGTGTGTGTGTGTAAATCTGTGTGTGTGTGTGTGTAAGACCAGGTTTGGTTTTCTGAATATGGGACCCCAAAGACCACCATCATTCATGAAAGACTTACTAGCGTCAAGTATCTCCCTGCCTAACACCCTCAAACTCATGACAAAGAAAATCACAACTCCTATTTGTATGTTTCTTTCCTCTACCACCACAGACTGAATGGTGCCATAATATGTGACAGTAAATGTCTCTAAGAAATCTTTAGAAGAATCTTAGAAAACTAATTTATGTAATCAGTATTACATAAAAAAATTACATAAAAAATCAGTTATTAGCTTCCTCTAAAGCTGAAAAAGACTTTATGAAAATCCCACTAGCACTGAAAGAAAAGTATTAAATTCCAAGCTTATATAACTTGATACCAGATGGAGCTTTCTGAACTATTAAGTTCATAAAACAGAAAATTTAATCTAGTCTGTGTACAAAGGAGTGAAGGAGTCTGGGACCTCTAAGTACACTCAGTCTTTATGAATTCACTCAGTGTCATCAATGAGTATTTAAAAAAAAAAAAAAATGAAAGAAACACAGGCAACCTCAGTGCAAGTTAGGCACATCAAGAAATGAACAAAACTGCCACTTTTGTTTCAACAGAAATAGAAACACCCTAACCATGCATGTATACTTAATGCACAAGAATAACTAGAAGAAATTTACAAAATGAGAACAAAATTCAGGATTATTTTTACAATTGCACTATTTGAAGTCTTATTAAAATAATTAAAATACAATCCATTTCAACAAGATTATACAGTGTTAAGTCCATTTTAGTTTAGTGATTAGTAGTCATACGAATTAGTAATTAAAAACATTTTCCGGAATTTTTTGCTTTTGGATCCTAGTTTATCTCTACCCTATCAATACCACTTATGTAGACACTAATTCCAATTTTAAAAAGAGTTTTTGACAAATGTTTTCTAATTCAGTTAAGATTAAACCCACCACAAAGTCATTATGCTGTCTTCACCTTACAAACATTATCTCATTTACTCCTCCCCACAATCCCAAGAGACAGGCATTATTATTTCTACAGCATTTATTTGAAAGATGAAGAACTGAGGTTTATACACATCAAGATACTTGCCTACCATCATAGGACTTGAATATGAGAGGTCTTTACTCAATCCAGACTAATCTTAACCACATTAAGAATAAAGGAACAAAGGCAATTTTCAACTAGCTCCATGTAGCTTTAAACAACTTATGTATTCTCTATTGACAGCAGTTCACGGAAAACAAGTAATTCCTTTCTATCTGATCACTCATACTAAACTGTGGACCCTATCAAGTGGCTTTTGTTTCCTTTCTTAGATGTACATAACAAAAAGTCTTGAGATACAATACCAAAGTTTTAAGATGTAACCATCATCTTATAAGCCAAACTTCAATCATCTTTACACGTTTTTGTTTTGTTTAAAAAAAAAAAAAAAAAAAGGAAGAAATCTCTCCTGTAAATGATTCGGAGGCTGAACCCTCAAAAATGTGAACCTGGAATTGTTCTCCCTGAATTCTCTACCAAACCTCCCAATCAACAGGGATAAAAACACGTAAGAAAAAGGACATAAAAGAACCACCAGGAAAATTAAGACATTAAGCCCTTTCTCTTTAATATATCTATTTGGCAGAAGGGACTAAACTGGAAAAGTGCTCTTCCTCCCTTTACAAATTTCAGAATCAAGTGACAGCTAAAAAGGCAAGGGCAACACCAGCACATTGCAGCCTGAATCAAATAAGAGCATTTATTTATCACGACTGCCAGGTCTCATTCTACCTTCTCTGTGAATTACACAGTGGGCTATCAAATATTAATGGCATGCCAGTTGCACTAGAGCTCTCATGAGAGCCTCCTGCTACCAGTTTCTTTCATGAAAGAAAAACTGCCCCCGTTTTCTAGGCAAACCCCGGACCACTAGAACCCCTGGGATGGGTGTCCATTCTGTCGCTCCCAGCGAAGGCTCACAGAGCCACCCCACATCCCAGAGAGGAAGGACCTGAGGGCGGTCGGTCCAGGGGGTCCGGGCTGAGCAGCGGCTCCGGTTCTCCCCCAGGTGTCGGCGGTGGATGGGAGGCGCGGCCGGGCCGGGCCGGGCCGGGCCGGGCGGTCCGCACAAAGGACGGGGAACACTTACCCAGCAGCAACACGTTCTTCCCCGCCGGGAGCTTGGAGCGCGAGCGCGTGGAGACCTCGCTGAGAATGCAGGACCTAACGGGGAGCAAAGAGCAGGCTGAGGCCAGGGCCGGGGCCGGGGCGCGGCGGCCGGCCTGGCGCCGAGCTCCAGCGGGCGCGGCATCCCGAGACGTCCGCCGGGCGGGGTAGAGCCCACGGGGACCCGGGAGGGGTGGGGTTGTTACCAAAGGTTCTGCCCGTCCTCATCGTCGCCTGCCGGGGCGCCGCCACTGCCCGATGCCACCTCGTTAGCCAGGGGACCGCCCGCGTAAGCCGAGGTGAGTCCCGGCGGAGAAGTACCGAACGAACCGACCCGCCCCACAGCCGCCATCTTAATAGGGAATCACACCACTCCCGGCAGAGCTGAATGAGCAAGGCAGAAGCGGCTGCGGCGGGAACCCGGATATGGCCGTTCAGCTCACGGGAGGAGGCGGGGCCGGGCTGCGGGGGCGGAGCCGGGGAAACGGGAGAGGAGGATTTGCGCATGCGCCACGTGCGGCGCCTGGTGGAGTTGCGCATGCGCGGACCGTGGACTGGTTCTGTGCCACGCCCTCAGTTCTGTAGGTCTCAGCCCTGAAACGCTTCCCGCGGTGCACCCGGAGCCCCGGTTGCAGTGGGGTCGGGCTGGGTGTGTCAGATGAGCGGAGTTCCCTCCCATCCTTCAGCCGGTCTCTCATCCCCGCTCCGGCGCGAAATTCCTGCGCTGTCATTGCGGGTCATCTGCCATTCGCTCTGGGTGAGCGCGCCAAGGTAGAAATGGGCTGCCCCGCTGTCACTGCAGTCCGGTGTCCGAGTGTTCCCAGGGTCCTGCACTTCTGGACGTTCCTTTTTGTGTTCTCAAACTGGGCTTACATCAAGGGTAGGTTCTCCCAGCCTCTAAGCAGCTGCGTGACAGAAAAATGTTGACAGCTTGCTTTAATGGTCTGAGATGCTCCGCGTGGGACTCGGAAAGACCCACTCCACTAGTCATCTCTCCATTCGCCGCACCTTTATTGCACACTTGCTACCTCGGGCACAGAGAACCTGACCTAGTCCTTTGATGACTCCCTTTCTGTTGGAACTGCACTGCTAGGTGCATTTGAACGTCCGAGCCCCACTTCCACAGAGTGGATGGCCTTAAGGCTGTACACCTCCAACACCTTGTAAGAGCAGTTGTTTAAAATAGTCTGCCTTTGTATGCTTTCTTTATCATTTCATATTTGAAGATCACTTGTTGACATATTTCCTGAACAATGCTGTTGTGCTGGTGAGAAAATACACAGCTAAACACTGTATTTGTTGTATATTAATATTGCAATTAGAAGTCTGGAAGGCTTTGGAGTTCAGGCCTAGCTCAACCAGTTTACTGGCTCTGTAACCTTAGGCAATTTACTTAGGTTTTTATCTGTAAGATGGGTAAAAAGGAAGATTAAATGGGATGATTCATGTAAAAAGCTCAGAAGGATGACTAGAAAATCAAGTGCTCAAAGCATTTTATTATTTACTGCTTTTCCTTTACCTTTCAAGCGTAATATCTGACCAACCCCTACAATTGGCGGACCTAATAAGCTCCTACAGCTAAGATTCCTCATTTCCTTATGATTAGGGAAGGAACCAGAACCCTATTTTGCAGTCCTAGGCTTTTCTGTAGTGCCAAGCAGGCTGGGGCATCCAGGTAACTGTTCCAATAGGATAGCCAAATGCAGCTCTGGCCTGAGAGTCCATTCACTCTCTGTACTTTATTCCCTCAGTCAAGATTTATTGTCAAGATTTTGTCTTCTCACTGTCAAATGGCCTGGGTCAAATCATGTTAAATATTCTATGGGAAGGGGAAGGATGAATGAAGGAGATTAAGGTGAGAGTATATGGTTGATGGATTTCATATATTTATATGAAATAGAACAAAGAAACCTCTTGCAATTGCTTTAAATGGGATGGGGAGAAAGTTGAGAGAGAGAGGGGTTGGGGGTGATGTAACCAATGTACAATATAAGCCTAATCAGATTTGTCACTGTGAATTCCCTCTGTATAATGAATATATCATAATAAAAATTTTATAATAAAAAATAAATATTCTGACAATTTTAGATGCTATTATAGAAAATATCTTCTGGGAAAGTCTCTACATTATAAAAATAGGGAACTTATACATTGTAAGGAAGTCTATAAAAGAAAAGATTCAGCATTCCCTTGGAATTTTTGTTGCATAAATACTATTGGTAATTAAGCTACTTCTTACACTATGATTATTTTTTCCTTGTCTACTTTTTATATCTAAAATTAACAACTGTCTTGTTTTTCATTTGCTTAGATTGCTAGGTCATTCACTATAATTAGGTCTTGTGAAAGTTGTATAAAATTCCTTATCAAGTATTCTAACAATTTCATCAGGCCAGCCTTCTGGTCTGCCCTAATCCAAATAGATTGATTGCTCTATGTATAAATTTTCATCTTGTGATCTTCTTTCACCATTGTATTGGGGATTCCCTTTGCCTCAATCCCGTCTCTCTTACTTCCTTATTTTAGAACTTCCTCCAACAGCTTTATGAGAAAAGTTGCATGAGTAAATTTTTAGAGATCTGCCCAGTTAGGGTTCAGCCAAGACAAAGATCAAAAGGGATTGCTAGAACAGTGTTAAGAGATGGGACTAGAAACAGCAGGAAACTTTGGGCTTGAAACGGGGAGAGAAAGGCATATTCAGTAGAATCCAGAGAGAGAGCTGCAGCCATAGGAAAGTGTTGCCCAACAAGATCTATAGTCATTAGTAAAATAACACAGCACTGACTTCTTTCTACTCCGTGGCCTCCTACTCAAAACCCTACAGTGGCTCCTCATTTTAATCAAAGTAAAAGCCAAAGTCCTTACAATGACACTTAGAGCCATACAGGATCTGGCCACCATTGCTTTGACAGACTGTTTGGTCTCCCCCTCTATTTCCCCTCTCTAGCTACTTTGCCCTGTTTCTGTTCCTTGAGCATGCTATGTGTCCTTTGCTTTGAGGCCTTTGTTCTAAATGTTTCATCTGCTTTAAAGATGCTTAGGAGTTGTCCAAGCTAATATCTTCCCCCAGAATGCCAGTTGGCTAACGCCCTCCCTTCCTGATGTGTTTGCTCAGATCTCAATGAGGTCTGCCCTCACCACTACATGCAATATTGCAACCTGACCCTTCACCCCTGAATTCCAGATTCTCCTTACCTTGCTTGCTTTTTTTTTTTAATAGCTCTCATTGTCTTATCAGATAGCATGGAATTTACTTACTTATTGAGCTCAAGCTCTGTGATTACAGGGATCTTTGTATTCTTTAGGAATATACCCCCCAAACACTTAATGCCTGGAGCACAGCAGGCAATCCAGAAAGGTTTGTGGAAGGTAGGAAAAGGGGAAAGAATCTAATTCTTGTCAGCAAAGTTCTAAAATTTCAGAATGGTGAGTGTGTGTGTGTGTGTGTGTGTGTGTGTGTGTGTGTGTTTTAAGAGAAGGGTGTAGATTCCAACACCTGAAAGCAGGAGCTCTCTTTTATAATATTTTAACCATTTTAAAAATACAAATGTAATAATACTCCACTCCCTTGCTATTTCAAGTTATGTGAATAGAGATGTAACTTTTCTTAATGGCACTGGACTTCCGTAGCTCATCAATAGTAGTATTGTTACACTGGGGACATGCTCAGATCCTCCTGGGATATCCTGGGTGTACCCCAGATGACTCTGCTTTTTGGTTTTATTTCTAATTCAACTGAACTGCACAGCCTGGGAAGTAAGAAATGGAATACTAGCCAGAAGAGAGACAGCTCCTCCTCCCTCTAGCCCTCCCCAGGAGCTACGTTCTCTCTCCTCCTCTGTCTGTTACTCAGCATCCTCTGCTTACTCATCTGCTTCCTTGAGGCCACAGTGGATATTTTGCTATCCTAAGAAAAGGAATTGTTTGGCAGGCAAAAAAAAAAAAAAATAGACAAGAAAGAACCTTCTGTAGGTCTGCAGTGGGGGATACAGAAACACTTCCTCTCTTCATTGGGGATGCCTCCCTCTATGTTTGGGAACTGGGACAAGACAACCACCACTGAGCTACTTCCTGTTGTGCCAGCTCTCACAGGCTGCCACCAGCAGGTTTTCAGATAGGACTGCCTCACCTGCATTGCCAAATGCTGGCAGGCACAGTTGATAGAAATGAATATAGAAGAGCCAAACTCAAAAGAAAAAAGGAAGCAAGAGGAGTGGAATCAAAGTTTGATTCCATGAGCAAGTCCAATAATACTGTTGGAAAGGATCTCAGAATTTAAATAATCTTATCCCCTACACAATCTATGAATCCTTCCCTGTGATATCTTTGACATTTGAGACACATGGTTGATACTAGAGTTGGAAGAGTGCCTTGCTTGCATTCTGCCCCAGAAGATCAACCAGTCACCCGATTATAGGGAAAAACCACAAAGTGCTTATTTTTGTTTTCCTCTGAGTCATGCTTATCTTTTTCAGAATGAATGAAATGATGAGTATCTAATTAATTTTTTCTATCCTCTAATTATAGAACTATACCTCTCCTACTACCCACCTAGGATTTTTATTAGGGAAGCTTAACACAACTTTAGATCTGAACACAAAGAAGCAGGGAAATACTTGACAAGAAAAAGTAGAATAGACTTTCTTGGTGGATTTTTTTTCCCTGAGAAAGCACCAGAAAGAGAATTTCCATTTCTTATATATTTAAAGTAAAATTCCACCAGGCGCTGGTGGCTCATGCCTATAACCCTAGCTACTCAGGAGGCAGAGATCAGGAGGATCGAGCCAGCTCAGGCAAATAGTTGGCAAGACCCTATCTTGAAAAAAACATCACAAAAAAGGGCTGGTGGAGTGGCTCAAGATGTAGGCCCCGAGTTCAACCCCAGGATTCCCCGAAAATGAAAAAAAAAAAATGTATGGCCTACCTGGCCTTCCTATATAGTGAGATCCTGTCTCAAAACAGTTTACAGAATCTTTTGTCTTCATTGGCCTTCTAGATCTTTCATGAAATAGATATGTTTTCAAATGTCCACATTTGCCATCAAGGCAAATCATGGCAGAGTACTTTAGCTGTAATGTGAAAGGTACAGAAAACAGTCATTGTAATTGAGGCTTAAGACTTGTGAAAAGAATGATAGAGTACCTACCTAGTGGTAGAGTACATACCTAGCTATTGGGAAGCCCTGAGTTCAAACCCTAGTACCGCCAAAAAGAAAAAAAATCTTTATGAAACGAAGTGGGCTAGCTGGGTGCTGGTGTCTCATGCCTGCAATCCTTGTTACTCAGGACAGAGATCAGGAGGATTGAGGTTCAATGCCAGCCCAGGCAAACAGTTCTCGAGACGCCATCTGGAAAAATAAATAAATAATTAATTAAAAGAAAGGGCTGGTGGAGTGACTCGAGGTGTAGGCCCTAAGTTCAAACCCAGTACTAATAAATAAATAAATAGATAAATAAATAAATAAATGAAGTAAAATTTCCCCACCTGTCTTTAAGTGTGTGTGTGTGTGTGTGTGTGTGTGTGTGTAATATATCACAGAAATGTGAAAAGTAGTTCCCTTGAATTTTCTTTTCTTTTTTGTGGTGGTAGGGATCAAACCCAGAGCCATCTACCAGGGGCTATGGGCTATACCCCTGGCCCCTGAATTTTTTGTTTAAAGTTCAGGTTAAGGTAGTAATTGGAATTGCCTTTTGCTTGCTTCTAATTGAGCTCTCATTCAACATCCATATCCATTCCTGGAAAGTGGAGGGTAAATAGAAGGGCAACACTGACAGAATTGATTCACATTCACAGCAGCTTGAATGGACAGTCTTGAAATGCCAGGGAAGGCAGACAGACAGCACTGAGGAAGAAGAGTGCTTGTTCCTCTGCATGTTTTAATCATTTCCTTACGCATCTTTCAATAAGGAACAGATAGGATTTTTAGGGTGCTTAGTCATTGTTGTTGTTTTAACCTATTTTTTAATCACCACAAAGAAGTAAGAAAAAGATTCACTGATTGATGTATTGTTAGCTGAATATATTTTTGGAAGATCTTATTGCTTTGTAATCAAATACTCTGAAGATCATTTTTTAAAGATGATTTCTTCCTCTTCTTCTCCTTCTCCTTCTCCTTCTTCTCCTTCAGGCAGTACAGGGGGTTTGGACTCAGGTGCTCTACTACTTGAGGCACACTCCCATTCCTTTTTGCTGGATCAGGGTGCAATATTCCTACTTACACTTAACGTGCAGCTGGGATGACAGGCACATGCCAGATTTTTATTGGTTGAGATGGGGGATCTCAAACTTTTTTGCCTGGTTTGGCCTAGAATCTTGATCCTCTGGATCTCTGTCTCCTGAGTAGCTAGGAGTACAGGCGTGAGCCACACATCTGGCTAGATGGTGATTTTTGTGCCACTTAACTTCTTAGATTTGCAGTATTAACATTCTGCTACCCTTTTTGCTTCCTAGAAGGGAAGATATTTAGTAACTAATTTTATAGATAGACATTTGCTAACAGTAGTTCACAAAGGTAATTAAGTTTTTCTACGTTGGAGAGGGGTCCACATTATAATACTATAATATATAAAATTATTATGATACTATAATAACTACTATAATTTTCCACTCTGATATATTCTAATTTGGATACACTGGCTCTAGTTTCAGTAGTATATTAAGCCATTTGCGCTCCTAGTTTAAAAATGTTTTCATAGAAAAAAACATGAAATTCTGTAGTAGAAATGTGCTTTTTTATAGCTGTAGGTGATTTCATATTCATACCACTTTAGTCTAGAGCTAATTATGGTTTCTCTTTGCTCTTACTAAAAGTAAGCCTAAACTTACAATCTATTAAACATGTTTCTTTTCCCCCTACATGGGAAGAGGATAAGAGAGTTTCCCAGTGGAAAGTTTTTGTATGCAAAATTAATCTGTTACTTCATCCCATAGAAGAAAGAATTGCTTATTTGAAGATATTTAAGGAAAGCTTAATGGGCCTAAACTTTTTACTACTGGATACATAAATTAACAGTTCCCTAGTAATGTGAAAGTGGAATCAAGAAGCAGAATGTCCTTTCTGATCCTTCCTCAACAAAGCCCAGTGTTGTTCTGAAGCGTCAGCTTCATCTTTTATTTCAGCTCACCTATTAGTAAATGCAGAATGACCAGATAAACTGCTATCATTTCCACTCTGATATATTCTAATTTGGATACACTAGCTCTAGTTTCAGAAGTATATTAAGCCATTTGATCTCATAGTTTAAAAATCTGTTTTAAATAATGAGCAACATGATACTGAGTCTGACATTTTAGACTGTCCACACCATCAATCCTAGGTATTGGGCCAAACAGTGTTAATGATAGCATCAACAACATGGCAACTAGTTTACATCGTTAAGATCAAACAATGTGCAGAGTGAAGTGCATGGAACAATAGTTTGTAGTCCAGATTACAGAATCAGACTGATTAAAGTTCAACTGCACTTATGGGCTTTGTGACCTTGCAGTTATTTAAACTCTGAAGCCTGTTTCCTCAGCTCTAATAGGGTTATGGTGAGGAATAAAAAACAAATAATTCTGGCACATTTTGAGTGCTCAATAAATGTTAGCTGAAATGTTTGTGGTTCTTCTTCTTTGAAATCAACTTAAAAGACTGTTTTGTAGAGCAGTTTCTTAATATTTGAGTGGTTTAAATGTACACATGAATACTCCTGGAACCTCATTAAAATGAAGATTCTGACTCAGTAGGACTGGATTAGGGCTTGCAATTGATTCTTCATGTCTACCAAACTTCTTGGTAGATTGGATCACAAAGCCAAAATTATGCACAGAAAGAAACAGGCTGGCACCCTCTCTCCAAACCTGCTCACTATTTGACCTTGGCAAAGCCAAAGACCTCATCTCTAAGCTGGAGATAGTAATATGGGTGTCCAATTAAATCAGGTCTCATTAAATGAAAAATAGTATGCTAAAACAGTCCCAGGTATATTGTAGGTACTTAAATCTAAGTTCAGGTTTTCTATGGGAAATGCTTATTGGTCTGTCCAGTAAAGGGGTGGGGGGCTGTGATAGTTTCCGTTCCTGAAAAAGCTGAGAATTCCCATTTTTTTGGAAAACTTTTGTCATGATGAAATCAACTTCAACATTGGGTTTTTTTGTTGTTGTTTTGTTTTTATTTTAACACAAAGATAACCTTTTATATAAAGCAAAAGAATAAGTATAATCACATTGGTTTACAAGTCTATCATTGCATGGCAAGCAAATCAATTCATAGCAGAGGTGAAGGTAGGTTGGGAAAATGCCCCAGGCAAGTGGTGGGGTCTGGGATCAGTAGGTACAATTTCTGCAAACATGGATAACTCAACAAAAAAGCTAGCTCACATAGCATTTATTTTAATTTTTCTTCTTTCTTTTTTATTTTTATTTTTATTTATTTTAATTTTTATTTTATTCATATGTGCATACAATGTTTGGGTCATCTCTCCCCCTTCCTCCTGCCCCTCCCTTACCCTACCCCTTAACCTTTTTTATTATGGAAAATTTTAAACTTGTGTCCAGAGAGAATGGCATAATGAATCTCATATACCCAGCACACAGCTGATCTCATTTTATTTTGACTCACATCCCTTCCCTCCATCTCTGAATTATTTTAAAGCCAACCCAAGACATTGTATTTCATCCATAAATATTTAAATATCTTTAGAAAGGACTCTTTTCCTAAAAACCCAACCATAATACCATTATAATAGTTCATTTCAAACACAAATAACTTGAATTTACGGTATGTATTTTAATTATCATCCAATTTTTACTGTAGGCAATGAGATACATGTTTTAAAATAGAATTCAAAATAACCTAACACTTAAGAAAGGAGTAGATGCACTTCTTCTCTAGGCATTGCTATTATCAAAGAAAGTAGACTTGACCTCTGCCTTCCTCCTCTCACTACTCCAGTTGGTTCTTTGTTGGTCTGCCAGCTGGAGGTGTTGATTACATCCTCCACATTGTCCTCTGCATTCCAAGCCTTCTCTGTCAAGTTATCTCTAACAGGACGGAAAGAAAACTGCTTTTGATTTTTGCCAGCAGCAGGTCAGTCCCGGCAGGCTGGTCTGAGTGCTAAGCTCTCACAGAGAGCTTAGAGGTCTAGCATCTCATAACCATTAGAGCTGGAAGAGACGTCAGAGCCACCAGATGTGAAAACGGAGGGGTGGGAGGGTAAGTGATTACTTAAAGCCTCTCGACACAAACACAGATTATTGTGAGTCCTGAGCTGACTTTTCTGTGTGGTAAAATTCCTTGCTTCCTTCCTTCCTTCCTTCCTTTTTGAAGTTCAGTTACCTTGGAACTTAGTTAAACTAAAAGGAAAAGGTCATGTCTTCATGCAGTATATTCTTGGTTCTTTAAGTAACAATTGTAACAAACAGCAAAAAATAATTTTAAAGAACACCACGCTTGTGATCCATGCAAAATACCAGCATTTTGGGTTGTGCATAATTGAAGAAATAACTCACTTTTCAGAATACTGCAATAGCCAATACATAGAGGCATGCCTTAGGTGGGCATAGGAATGCAGTTTAGAAAGGAAAAAAAACAGTGGAAAACCACCAAGCAAAAAAAAAAAAGCAACATTGAACTTTTTTACACAACTTCTATACAGTACCTTGACTTAAATCCAAGATTCTCCTTCTCTATTTTGGTAAACAACTGCATGATAAACTTAGAAAATTTTCCCTGGGGGTGGTCTTTTTAATATTTTATTTAAAAGAGGGCAGGTTTGGCATTCTTATGCTAATGTCATCAATGTTAATATTTCTTGGGATCTCAGGAAGATTCATATACATTATATTACATTATTTATTATATTACATATATTAACAGTACTGGAGTTCGAACTCAGGGCTTGCTACGGAGGTGCTCCGCCACTTGAGCCATACCTCCAGCCCTTTTTGCTTTACTTATTTTTCCAACAGGCTCTCGGGAGCTCTTTGCCTGGGTTGGCCTAGAACTGGCTTCTCTTGATCTCTACTTGCTGAGTAGCTAGGAACACAGGCATTAGCCACCATGCCTAGCTAAGATTCACATTCTTACAGCTGATGCAGCATGAACTGGAGCTACCACTAAGCCAGACTCAAATTTCTCCCATTTATTTTGTGCATCAATTTTTGTAACAATCCCACTCATGTTGGTCTCTAATATCATTCCACCCATCACTATTGCCACAAGAATGTTATGAACCTTGTCTATGTGGAATATTAAATCCAGTTCAGAGACATTTTCAAGATATTTGTCTGTTTCCACAAACATTTGAATTAGATATAAAATGCCAAGTTCACTTTCTAAAGAATACACACAGAAGACAAAATACAGCATTGCACAATGTCTATAAATCAGTTCATTGTCAGACCCTCCAACTGATAATCCTTCTAGGAAATTACAAACCTTTTCCTCTCTCTTCAGTACCAAATGGGATATCCCTGATGATTTTCATTGTGTATCTTCTCTGTAGGGCGGGTAGAACTTGGAGAGCTGCAGCTTTCCTCTATTGTCAAAGATGAGGATTGCCTTGCTCATTGCTGGGCCAGGCTGATTGGATGGGGCACTGGGGCCCAGGGCAAGGGTGGGCACACCACCCTCTTCTGCACTCCCAACCCATGTGGTAAAATTTCAATCAAGGAGTTTCATCTCTTATTTTACAACATTTGGTTTTCCTCACTAATTGCCTGAAAGGACCAATTATTTTTTTCTTTTTCTTCTTGGACATTTAAAAATATACATGAAGCTGGAAGTGGTGGTTTACATCTGTAATCACAGCTACTTGGGAGGTGGAGGTAGGGGGATCCAGGTCAGAGGACAGCCTAGGCAAAAGCAGGAGACCCTGTCTGAAAAACTTAAAGCAAAAGGACCAGATGCATGGCTCAATTGGTAGAGTGCTGAAGCTCAAGGCCCTTAGTTCAATCCCCAGTACCATTTTATATATGTGTATATATACACATATATATATAAATGCATAGCTATAGATACACACATAGCTAATAGAAGAGTGCTTACCTAGGATGCATAAGGCCTGGGTTTGATCACCAACACCACGAGATAGATAGATAGATAAAACATTTAGAGCAAATAGTTATTAAAGAAGATAAATAATTTTTCAGTGTCATCTCATTGAAATCTATCTTGAATCCACGTAAAAATTACTTTTCAATTTTTTTTTGGCAGTACTGGGGTTTGCACTCAGGGCTTCATGCTTGCTAGGCAGGCGCTCTACCATTTAAGCAACTCTGCCAGTCCTTTTTGTGTTGGGTATTTTTGAGATAGGGTCTCATGAACTGTTTGTCCAGGCTGACGTTGAACTGTGATCCTCCTGATCTCTGCTTCCTGAGTAGCTAGGATTACAAGTGTGAGCCACCAGTGCCCAGCTTCTTTTTCAATTTTAATTATAAAATATTTCAAATATTTAAGTACCAAAATAATGTACAAATTATACAAAATGAAGTTAATATTACCACAGAAGAGCTTTCCCTCTTAAGCTTTTTTTTTTATTCATTTATTCACATGTGCATACATTGTTTGGGTCATTTCTCCCCCCTACCCCTGCCCCCACCTCTTAAGCTTTTTTAAAGAAAGTTCACTCTACTGTCATTTTTTCCATTCCTTTCTTCCTTAGAGGAAGGCTTCATCTTAAAAATAAGCGAATATCATTCTCACAAAGATATATATTCATACACACAATTTTTGTGTGTTTTTAATTTTTGTGTGAAAAATATACTGTAGATACATTTTACAAGTTGTTTCTTCACTCAGTGTTGTTTTTAAGATTGAGCCATATGGATATATAGGTAAATCTTGGATCATTTATTTTAACTGCTTTATAGAATTACACTGAAGGGCTGAGGATGCAGATAGTGATAGAGTGCTTACCTAGTGTGCATGAGGCCATGGATTCTATCCACAGGACTGCAAAAAAAACTACTCTTCTTCATAGGAATAGTTAGATTGTACTCTTAGACAATTCTTTTTTTTTTTTATTTACAAAGTATTGTCTTTTTATTTATTTTTTTTCTTTTATTATTCATATGTGCATACAAGGCTTGGGTCATTTCTCCCCCCTGCCCCCACCCCCTCCCTTACCACCCACTCCGCCCCCTCCCTTCCCCCCCACCCCCTCAATACCCAGCAGAAACTATTTTGCTCTTATCTCTAATTTTGTTGTAGAGAGAGTATCAGCAATAATAGGAAGGAACAAGGGTTTTTGCTGGTTGAGATAAGGATAGCTATACAGAGCACTGACTCACATTGATTTCCTGTGCGTGTGTGTTACCTTCTAGGTTAATTCTTTTTGATCTAATCTTTTCTCTAGTTCCTGGTCCCCTTTTCTTATTGGCCTCAGTTGCTTTTAAGGTATCTGCTTTAGTTTCTCTGTGTTAAGGGCAACAAATGCTAGCTAATTTTTTAGGTGTCTTACCTATCCTCACCCCTCCCTTGTGTGCTCTTGCTTTTATCATGTGCTCAAAGTCCAATCCCCTTGTTGTGTTTGCCCTTGATCTAATGTCCACATATGAGGGAGAACATACGATTTTTGGTCTTTTGGGCCAGGCTAACCTCACTCAGAATGATGTTCTCCAATTCCATCCATTTACCAGCGAATGATAACATTTCATTCTTTTTCATGGCTGCATAAAATTCCATTGTGTATAGATACCACATTTTCTTAATCCATTCGTCAGTTCTTAGACAATTCTGTTAGAATTATCACCAGTGCCCCCTGTAGTTTTTGCAGCTAGGCAAAATGCCCCTCCTCCTTGGTTCAGGAGATAGAACCCAGGACCTTCTGCACACTAGGAAAGCACTGATATATACCCACCCCTCCCCCTAACAAAATGACATTTTTGGAACTATCACATTCTTATAATTGTTGGTTTTTGCTGTATCAGCATGCTATTGATGTTTGCATATTGACTTATACTTGTCAGTTTTGCTGAGCTCTTTTGTGTGTGTGTGTGTGGGTTGAAACCATGGCTTCATGCTTACAAAGCAGGTGCATTACCACTTGAGCCACACCTCTAGTCCATTTTGCTTTGGTTATTCTGGAGATGGGGTCTCCCAAACTATTTACACAGACTGACCTTCAACCACGATCCTTCTGATCTCAGCCTCCCAAGTGGCTAGGATTATAGGCATAAGCCACCAGTGTCTGGCTGAATTATTTATTCATTGCAATAGTTCATCTATAAATAGGTTTACTTATGGGGGAAGCTACTGAGTTCACCCTTTTCTTAACTTATTTTTACCATCACAAAATAGAGAAGTTTGGATTTATCCAAATTCTAAGGGAAGAAATGGCGGAAAGCTAGAGTGACAGATGGGCTGGTAGGATTGCACCTCTTTAATGCTGCAGCCAGAGCTGGGGCACTGCTGCCAAAAACTCAGGTATAAGGGCTAGTTGGAGGCTCCAGAATATATATAGCAAATAGATGCATAATATGTGATGTGATTCCCTCCTCTATGTCTTACTACATCTTAGTAAAAATGGAAAACAATTGCATGCTTTTTTTCCAGGAACCATGAAGACATGCAGCTTTGAATGGGTCTCACATGATTCTGGGACCATAAAACTGAAGCAGCTTATGGCCCCTGGGGCCAGGATCCAAGCAAGCATAAGGAAGTAAGAGTCTGAAGCCCAGGAAATGTGCTGGAGCTGCCCAGGCTTAGGAAGTGTGACTTAACAGATTCCTAAACTTTACCAGCCCAAAAGCTCCCATGTGATGTTGTAGCTTTCATCCACACCCATCTGATTTGTATGTTTCTCACATGGAGTGCCTGCTGTAAAAGACACACTTCCCTAACTTTTTCCTAAAGTTTATTTTTTCAAGATTTGACTGCTCATTCTTTGACCTTGAAATTAGAGTTTGTAATATGAGGAGCATAAAAAAAAAGATCACTTTTAAATTATCTCCTTGGGTGCCAGGTGCTGGTGCCTCACGCCTGTAATCCTAGCTACTCAGGAGGCAGAGATCAGGAGGATCACAGTTCAAGGCCAGCCTGGGCAAATAGTTTTTGAGACCCTATCTTGAAAACACCCATCATAAAAAAAGGCTGATGGAGAAGCTCAATGTGTAGGCCGAGTTCAAACCCCAGTACTGCAAAAAATAAATAAATAAAAATTATATCCTTTGTAGTTTGTCATAAGAGCAAATTCTGTAATGAGATTTATTTCCTGTGAGTCCCAGCACATATAATGAATTATGGCCTCATGTTATATGAGGAAACAATGAACTAGCATTGGATAATTAATGTTAATGTAGATTCATTTAACCCAATTAACCTACTGCTATCAAGGAGAGATAACAGGGAGAGTTTGGAGTCTAGGCCCATTATACTTGGGCTGAATCTCCATTTTGCGACTTACTAACCTGGTGTTATTTGAGGTCATTACTTTACCTCTCTGCCTCAACTTCTTAACTGTAAAATGGAGACATTAATGTTACTGAGCACAGAGTAACTGTGGCTGTGAAAATAAATGAACTAAACCTTGTCAAGCACTTAAGACACTGCCTGCTAGAGTATTAGCCTTAATTGTTATCATTAAAGAGGAAGCAAAATCCTAGAGGAGTGACCCAAAGGACAGGTCACTTTGAGGGAATAATGAAAAATCTATACACAGAGTGTGGCTGAAACCCAACAATGGGGGGGAAGGAGGGAGAAATGACCCAAACATTGTATGCACATTTGAATAAAAGAAATAAATAACAAATCCAGCAATGGAAGCAATGGAGAGAAGGGACAGATGAATAAGAATGGGGTCTTTAACAAAGAGGTGCTGTATATAAATGTTTCCACCATTGAAGTCTTACCTAGAATGATGTCTAGATGCCTGGTCCTGCCATTTGGAGAAACAGAGAAGTTCTTCATGCAACTTTCATAGCTCTTGCTGCAATAATGCTGTGTAACAAAGCACCCCACAGGCAGTGTCATACAACACTAAGCACACATGTCCACAGGTCAGCTGAGATTGGCTGCAGACTATGGATTGCTCTACAGGGTTCCTTCTGTGCTGTAGACCGAGGCCCAGTGATTACCTGAGGCCCAGAAACCTTGGCTCAAAACTGACACTGTCAGTCCCATCCACATTCATTAGCTACAGCAACCACATGACCAGGTCGACTGTCTATGAAACAGGGAAGTACAATTCTCCTGTGGAGGTTGAGTGGGGAAGGGAAGGGTATACACTGAGCAAAAATTTCACTTTCCATAACATATGTAAGATTTCAAAGTTTTAATCATGTCTTCTCTCAACAGTTATTTTTTTTTTAGACTGAAGAATTCTATTCTCCTCCTACTTCCTACTTGGCTTTTCTGCCTGACTTCGCCTTGCTGGATGTGATCCTTTTGGTAGCGGTGTTATTGAACTGTCGGACTTCAGGGTGAAGTTGGAGATAGATTTCAATATTCTTTTCTAGTATCAAGATGAATAAGCAAAATGGAAGGAAATTAACATTTGGAGTAAACCAGATCCCAGGCACCATAATATGAAATTCATTCTACTGAGTGAGACACTTTTCATGTGTTATCTC